GAAAACCGGAAGTGGCGCTGTGGCTCAAGTGGTAGAGCGCCAGCCCTGAACTGAAGAGCTCAGGGACAGCGCTCAAGCCCAGAGTTCAAGCCCCACAATCGACAAAAGAAAAGAAAAATGTTTTTGTTTTTATAAAATTGTGCTTTCAAAGATCCTGAAAAGAGTTGGAAAAAAAATTATAGTAAGCAAAGTAAAGCCAGACCCAAAGCATGGTTTCCCTCATTGGTTATAACTAGAGAGTTATTTGTTATTTGTTATAATTAGAAAGTGCCTACAAAATAATACAAGTGAATAAAAAGGATGGTCAAAAAAAATACTGGGACATGACACATTATATGTGTCTCTAGACATTCACACACAGTGAGACCCAAGGAGGATCTTCTTAGGAGAGGATCGCAAAGTCTCCATGCTTATGTGCCTCTGATCATATAAGATCCGATTTATCAACATAAACTCCAGGAAATGGAAACGAGCGATATTACTCTATTTTCTTTCTTGGTTTGTTTTTTTTCCCTCCTTTTGTCACTGTTTTAGTTTTCCGTACCTTTTCTCTTGCCTGTTGGTTTCTCTGTCTCTGGGAGGGTGAGGGGGGCATAGAAATGGGGGGACAGAGGGGAAACCAAGGCAGCCGTGGACCTCACTGAACACCAGGTGGAGAATGAACTCTACCACTCGTGGGTGGGGACGGGAGGAAAAACCTGGGGGAGACAGTGAGGGAAGGGGGGACAGGGCCCACAGAGAAATGTGCTCATGACCTGAGTGATGTCACTGTCACCTCTCTGTCCGTCACCTTTATTTATCATCACAATTTTTTTTAAAACACTCAACCTGAAAACTAAAAAGCAAAAAGGGAGCAATGTAAAATCCCCATTCATGGCATGTTCTCAGAAATGTGTAAAGACCAGCAACTTTCGGATGCCTCAAATGACACACAAGCAATTTCTCTTCTGTTTCTACGTAAGGACAATTAGTGAGGAGCATTACCGGGATCCTATGCGCCGAACTCGGATTTGCACGCAGGCTGCCTCTGATGAACACCTACACTCACGCTTCTGTCTGATTCCACAAGCAAGTCACACCTCACAGGCTCGGAAAATTAGGGGAAGATTGATGAACTTGCACACAAACATTATGTCACAGTACACACATCGTATTTTGGAATAGGACAAGTACGGCGAACAAGTTCTTTGGTAATTCTGATTAGGGTCTCTGAACCACTGCATGTGAATTTCTCTCTGTATGCACAAATATAGATATATAGTTGGTTGTGGGTCTTGAACTCAGGGCCTGTGTTTGGTCCCTGAGCTCTTTCACTCAATGCTGGCGCTCTACCACTTGAACCACAGCACCACTTCTGGGTTTTGGGTGGTTCATGGGAGATCAGAGTCTCATGGACTTTCCTGCCCAGGCTGGCTTTGAACCACGGATCCTTAGATCTCAGCCTCCTGAGTAGCTGGGATGACAGGCCTTGACCGTAAGCGCCTAGTTATATATACTTTTTAACAACTACAAAGGCACATGCAAACTCTAATATATATCCTGCTCCACCATCTTTGTCCTGACTGGTTTTGCAAAAGACATTTTTGATGTGTTTAGAATCTCTTCCTGTTCAACGCTATGTCCCCACACCTCATGACTCACAAACACACACACATGTGAGCAAAACCTACAGTCTTAGAAGACACCATTTTTATGAATGTTTACAGCCAATATTTATGGTGGTCCTACTAAGTATCAACAATTGTGCCAAGTGCAGAAGGGAGAGTATTTGTCTCAGGACTTTCAAATCCGTAAGTTCATGACTTCAGGTAAAGGGAATGGTGCAAGGAGTATGGAAAAATAGAAAGTCTGAGCCAGGTGCCATGGCTCACGCCTGTAGTCCCAGCTACTCAGGAGGCTGAGATCTGAGGATCTTCGATCAAAGCCAGCCAGGCTAGGAAAGCCAATGAAACTCTTATCTCCAAGTAACTACTCAGAAAAAGGTAGAAGTGGTGCTGTGGCTCAGAGTGGTAGAGCACTAGCCTTGAGCACGAAGAAGCTCAGGGACAGTGCCCAGGCCCTGAGTTCAAGCCCCAGGACTGGCAAAAGCAAATATATATATATATATATATATATAAAAAAACAAAAAATCAAAAATTTTAATCTAATTTTATATTTTTAAAAGAGACTTACTTCACTGGTCTAGTGGCGACATCTTCTCTTCGAATGCCACAAAGTGGTCTCAAGTCTGTAAAGTCCATTCGCGTGACAATTTCACAACCAAAATCCAGCTCCTGGGTCCTCAGACTTTTTTTTTTCCCTTCCAACTTCTTTTAATTCTCTCGTGTCTGGAATTTCCAGAACGACTCTCATAATGCTCCAACGCTACATGAGCATCAACATTTTACAATCTGCATGGATTTCTCCCCACGAATAACTCATACCCTCGTTATTAAAAACAAACTCGTGTTACATCTGTATCCAAAAGGGAAGAAATAAAAAACAACAATCATCTCTTTTGTTGGTGTATTACATTTCAAAATGATGCTTCTCATTTTTTCCCCTATGAAATAATATCTTGGCAACTCTGGCATATATTTCAACTTTATAGTGTGCCTTTTCTCATTTTATTTTCCTCTGGGGAATTTCAAATACTTGAAATAATTTGAGCTTTGCCCAATTTCCCATCTCCCCCCCCCAGTACCCCCAGAATGCTGGAGTATGACTGATAAGTGCTTTTAGAATTCCTAATAGCTAAATTATAATTATTATGCAAAGGCCGACAATAGACAGTTATATGGCTTGTTAAATGACTTTGCCTCTTTTTTTCTCCCTTCTTTTTTTTTTGGCAAACTACGATCATTTTCCTTTATTAGCTGGAGGATTTTATAATTTAAGGAAGATGAGACACGTATAAGTCACGCTTCCGAATAAGGAGCCGTGGATATTGGAAACATTAAATTCCCCCATAAAAATGTTAAGGCGTCATTAAACTAGGCTCAGATTAATACAATTCCAGTCAACTTCAGATGGATCTTCGCCGTAAGAAGCGAAGCCAATGCCGATCGGTCTAAGAGGTAAAATATTTTACGGCCGCCAATTTATAAACCTATAAAACATACAGGTATCATTCAACCTCTTTAATTCATCATGCATGCTTTGCAGTAAATCAAAACCACCTTAAAGACATCTCCAGCACCCTCCCCCCCTTCCTCAAATAGAGGCCCTCATACATTGGAGATGCTTCCCGGAGATCCGTCCAATGTGAATGGGCAGCAGGTGTCTTATTCTGAAAACTCAGGCAATCAGCCTAGTGACACCAATTCCCTTGCTCTGAGATGCGTGAACACATTCTCTCCCCTTGTACCCAGCCTACCAGAGGATCATGGCGAAGAATTTGTTTCCCTGTAGGTTGAGCCACATCACAGTTTTGTTTTATTTTATGTTTTCCATCTTGGATCAATGCAACTCCTTCTTTTAAAAGTTTCACGGCTTAAAGATAGGAGGGAAACTAATATGGGAACCCCCAGAATGTTCTAGATGGTTGAATCTGGTCGTAGGATTCCGTCTCCAACCTTTCATTTCTTTATTTGAATTCCCACGCAGTAAGGAAGCCATATATTTCATGTTGCCTGAGTTGTAGAGGGGTTTTGTGGTGGTGGTGGTAGTTGTTATTGTTGTTTCTTAATTTTATGTCAGTCGTGGGGCTTGAACTTGAGGCCTGGAGCCTGTTAATTTTGGGCAGTCATGGGACTTGAATTTAGGGCCTGGCCGCTGTCCCTGGGCTGTTTTGCTCAAGGCTGATGCTCTACCACTTGAGCCACAGCTCCACTTTTGCTGAGTAGTTGAGTGGAGATGAGAGTCTCACGGACTTTCCTGTCCACTCTGGCTTTGAACCGAGATCCTCAGATCTCAGCCTCCAGAGCAGCTGGGATGACAGGCGTGAGCCATCAACACCCAGCAGAGGGTTTTAATGAATTACCTTTCATGAATTATCCTTTTTAGGTTATTCTGTTGGCATGCAATGGTTTAATACTACACCAGCTATTGTGTTGTGAAGCAGAATTCTGTGGACATAACGTATCTTTACCCAGATATTCAAAGCATTTCAAGACTATAGGCTTAGAGGACAACACATAGAGCCAAAGTGGATTTCCAAGGAAGAGAAAGAAAGGTTTGGAATTCTAATTTTCTTTAGGACCCAGCTTCCAAAGTCTCTCACATCCACTTCTACCTCATTCCATTTGTTACAAGAGAGTGAGTAGCTTGATACTGGTGGCTCACGCCTGTCATCCCAGCTACTCGGGAGGCTGAGAGCTAAGGATCATGGTTCGAAGCCAGCCCAGGGCAGGAAAATCCATGAAACTCTTATCTCCAATGAATCACCACAAAGTTAGAAGTGGGCATGTGGTTCAAATGGTAGAGCACTAAGCCTTGAGCAAAAAAAGCTCAGGGACAGTGCCCAGGCCCTGAATTCAAGCAGCAATACACACACACACACACACACACACACACACACACACACACAATGATATAAAATAAAGGTAAAATCTAGGCTAAGAAACAATACTTTAATAAAGTTCCATCAGCTGAGTTTTCTCTTGCAAGACTCACTGGGTACTGATCCACCCGTAGCTTAGAGTGAATACAAGTATGTAAATAATGAGAGGCTTCATGTGTGAGACAGAGTGAACCAGATATAATCAATCACAAAGGCAAACCATCTATTTGAAAATGTATCTGAGGTTCATTGTCAATTACCTCAAAGTTCCAGGAGAATTCCTTTAAAAACAAACAAAAAAAAATAAAACCAAAGTGGCCAGGCACCCATAGCTCATGCCTGTTATCCCAGTTACTCAAGAGACTGAGATTTGAGGATCACGATTCAAAGACAGCCTGGGCAGGAATCTGCAATGAACCACCAGAAAACCAGAAGTGGAGCTGTGGCTCAAGTGGTAGAGCACCAGCCTTGAGTGAAAGAGCTCAGGGACAGCGCCCAGGCCCTGAGTTCAAGCCCCAGGTCCTACACAAAACAAAACAAAGAAAAGTGCAGGCACAGAGTGGGCTTAGCTAACTGGTGAGTGTTTTGCGACTTGCTCATACAACAAATCAGCTGGGACTGCACCGAGTCTACTAAACAGATTTCCTTCTCTTTCCAAACACATTATTGATCAGTTTGGCCATGGACCGCGATCCACTGGGCCTTCTCTTCTCCTTGAGCTTGACATTGCCCAACACGTCCTTGATGGCTCTGAGAAACATCATCTCAACCTCCAGGCTCTGCTCTGCTGCAGATAGCTCGCAGAACTGGCATCGGTACTCGCAGGCCAGCCTCTGGCCCTCATCCCAGCCCACCTTGCGGATGTGGCACAAGTCCTGCTTGTTACCCACGAGGAACACCGCTGCTTCCACGGCTCTGAAACACGGACACGGAGGAGCACAGGTCACATCCGACTCAAGGTCTGAAGCAGTCGGTTTAGATCCAAAGGAACGTGACACAGAGGAGAAAAAAGATAGATAGATAGATAGATAGATAGAT